TCGATTCATTGCTGAAAAGATGAAAAGAAAAAGTTATTAAAATCGTTCTAGTAGTTTCCGAGGAAAGGATACACGAGGATAAAAAAACATAGGAGAGAATTTTAAAGATTGCAATGCCAAATCAACGAAGCTAGTACTCGTTACTTTTTATTGCAATTGTATGTATATATATTTTGTAATGAATTTTTATGTAGAAGTATCGTGAATAATAAAATTCTGATGAGAGTGAAAACGAAATAAATGTGTTGATATTATAATACACGTTTCTTCTCCCATGCGCTAAGGATTTGTCTAAATTTATTTTTCATGCATACAGATCTGTCTAAAAGGAATTCTGATTAGCTCAAATTGCCCAAGAAATATTCCAGTTTTCTTTAATAAAAAGTGTTCTTTCTTATTTGATCATTTTCAACTGTACCTGCCTCTCTGATTTAATGAAAATTGTCGTGTACCATCAGTGGTACACACAACACAAAACGTGTTAATATGTACAATTTAAAAAAAAAAACAAAAATACAACGAAGAATTAAAAATAAAAGATAAATATTAAGAATGGTCAGAAAATATAATAAAATTACACTTGTTATTAGTAAGTGATGCTCTATTAAATTAGAGAAGTAACCCGATGTTAAACTACAAGTTAGTAAATCAAGTAATATCGTGCCAGAGGTGTTAATCCTCCACGTTAATTGCGTTTAAAGGTAAGAGGAGCTCCTTGAAGTTAGTAACTAAAGTGTCACGTTACCTCCAGCAATTCGTCCCCGGAACGAAGTGTTCCATTCTGTCCTACGGGTCCTTCTGGAAGGATCGATCGTATGTAGTGGTGAGGTCTCACTTCCTTTCCGTTCTCCACGTCCACCGTTCCTTCCAAGCTTATCCCAAGACCACTGCCTTCCGCGAATTTCTTTAGTTGCGCAACCTGTTAAGAACAGACAGAGAAACCGTTCTTCTTAATCTCTGACTGGGAAGAACTTCTTATAAAAAGAAGAAAATAGTAATGGTACATAATAACGAGGGTCTGGAAAATCTTCCAAACCATTTCAAGTGGAATCTGGAAGTATTAAGACCCAGAAAGGCTGCAGGTTCAAAAAGTTCCAGGATAAATTCTTTCTTCTATTATCGCGGTGTAGTACACATAAAGAATTCCTACTGACTGATCAAACGGTCAATAAACAATACAACTTAGTTGTCAGAAGACGTTTCCGTGATTCGATCCGCAAAATACAGCCGGATATATGGGAAAACAACCGATGGATTTTGCATCACGATAAAGTAAGTAGGTACTATGCAGAGCTGGAAGGAATACTAACGGTACGGCATAGGAGCAGGGATGATATTCCGCTCGCTTCGCTTGACTTCGGTTGTGACGCTCCGGTAGCGACAACCTTAAGGGAGTATTCTAGTCTAGAGAGTCATTTTTTAGTCCTTCTTAGGGATTTTTTTGTAAGGAAAGTATAAGTTTCTCAGTATCGGCATTTTGCACACATATTTATTCGTGGCTTAAGAAAGTTCACAATTTTTTTCAAGCGAAAATAATCGAAACTGTCTGAATTATATATCATTCAGTGCGGTCCCTTTAAAAAAAAGTGTCCTACTGGCTGACACGATTCCGCCCATTCTGTTTATCCAAAATGAAGAAACCAAAAAGATTCTTGATTAGTACGAATGTGATTATGGTGTGAGCCAGAATGAAAGAAAAATAGTGAAAATTTACAAAATGGCGGGACTGTGAATTTTGTGTCGATCTTTTTTCGTCTTTCAGAGGCTCTAAAAATCAGAAAAATATATATTTTGGCATAATTCTGGTTCAGACGATAAAGGCGCATCCACTGAAGGTGCATGTCAAATTTCGAGTCAATCGGACAACTAGAACTTGAGATATCATGTCAGCCATTTAGAAAAACGCGTTTAAAGTTTCTCATACCAGTTACACGAGAAACCATCTATAACCATCACTTTTTTAATCATCTATAACTTCGTCAATTTTACGAATTCGGCAAAATCCTTCCACAGTTATACTTCAGCAAATGCCTACTTTCAGAAAATGTACAAAAATAAACCGAGTTTTTTGAAAAGTCTAGACTAGAATACCCCCTTAAGGTTTTTGGTGGCACGAGCTGACAGTAGTAGAATCCCCGTATTCGAGGGTGATACGTTCCAAGATCTACCGCGGATACACGAAACAGAGAGTACGCTACTGCTTTGAAGTTCGTCGGATCACTCAGTATTGTTCTATCCCACTCGGTCTCAATGTGTCCCATTTGTTCTCTTTGCCACGCGATGCTATGTGATCATATTTGTAGATGTGACAGTTTCAGCCAATAACAAAAATACGTGTGCCCCTACCTTTATGATTGTCTCAGAGAAGGTAGTTCAATTATACTACGACCAATCAGACCCACATTCCTTCCAGTTCTACACAGTACTTACATGACTTGAAACTTCGACTAACATCATCCTGCAAACATCGTATTCACCTGACCAAGCACAGTGCGACATTTTCCTGTTTCCCAGACTGAAACTTCCACAACGGTTACGTCGTTTTGAGTCAATTGAGATGATGAAACAAAATTCGCTAGACAAGCTAAACACAATCCCAGAAATTGAGTTCCAACGATGATATGAAGATTGAAAAAACCCTTGGCATAAGTATATTGCGAGCAATGGGAATTACTTTGAAGGCGACCAAATAGATATCGCTACATAAATAATTTGTCTTGGAACTTTTTGAATAGTATTACAATATTTCTGCAATTTAATTCTTTACGAATCTTTAAAGTACTTGTTCAGTCGTCCTATTAGATTTACGGCGTTTCCCAGGCACGGGTCTGGAAATTATTCGGTCTTTCGCAGCAGTTGTAAATTTGGGAGGCCATCGAGCACTTTAACGTTTATTTAGAAGTTCGATGCTTTTCTTCTCGTGGCTCTCATATTTTAACTTCTCGGGTTTTTGGTCTTCACTTTGGTATGTTTTTGTTCGCGACGAAGCGCTGCCCAGACTTATTACCTGCTGCGGTTATTGCTTCGAGACACGCGACTTTCCGCGCGCGTCACTCAAGGGTGCGGACGACACTTGAGAGTGACCGTTGACTTCGGGGTGTCCCTTTAGTTCGTTCTTTGTTTAATAGTTTGCCAATCGCGTATAGTCAACCACCTCTCTTGTTGAAGTCGAAATTGTAATAACCAATCCGCGTGTCTCACCCCCGCCAAATGTATCCTGACCGAGGTATCTTCGAACTTTGTCTGAGACCTCGAAATCAGAATCCATTCGGCTAGCAACAAGCAACATTGAAATCTTCCGGAAAACAAACACGAGCAAATTAGTTGGTCTCCCGGTACACGGGAGTGGTCCTTCGAATTGTAATCAGTCGGCACAAACGTGCAAATTTAGCCAAACTCGAAAGATCGCAAGATCAACCACGAGTACACTAAACAGTACTTTTGTAGAAAGAATTTTAAGTATGTATTAACACGTTCCGTACTGAACATACTACCGATAGTATAGGATAGTTTTTGGAAGTAGAACTTGCATTAAGTAAAAAAAAGTCTCTTGAATTCAAGGCTCAAAGGAAATAATTACAAAAGTCAATGACACTGTTTGACATTTTTCTATAATTAAATATTTTAATATGAGTTTTCAACATCATTTTAATGTTCTGCCAAAATTCATACTCTTCCCGCGGTACGGAGCGTGTTAAATAATGTTATTTGCAAGAATTTTTGGGTGATAACTACTAACAGCTGGAAAGTTTCGAAATTTAATAAACTTCGAACAATTACGTACCACAATTTCCGTGTCTGGACCTACAATCTTCTGCCATTTCGCCTTAATAGCAGCTCGAATCTGAGGCGTAAGCTCGCTAGATGGGTCGCTCAACAAAGCTTCCACGTTGGCCGCGTCATCCAATTCCTCAGAGGATCTTTCGCGGTCACCTTCTTGAAGTACTGCGCTGTCTACGGTCGTGTGCGACTCTCCCTCCGGTTCTATTTCAGTGGTAGTTTCTCCATCCTGTAACAGTACAATTAAATATGTGAATATTATTAACTTATATCAATTTGACGAAATACTGTACATAATGAAATAAAAGACTAATTTATGCAGAGTATAACAGAGAAGTATAAGAGAGAAAATATAGAATACAATTTATTTGTTTGAAAATACTGAATTCGAAACTCTATTATACACGCAGGCATATAAGTAATGTGAACAAAAACTGAGGTAAAATTCTTTTATCCTATAATTCATTCAATTTCATCAATTTAAAATCAATTTCAAACATTTTGGAATACTCCAAATATTTCTTGTATTAACACATTCGCGTCGGATGACGCACATATGCGTCATTCAGGTATTCACTTGGATTCCGAATGACGCGAAATACGTCATTGAGACTTTCACATATCTGTCTGAAAGTAAATTTATAAAACGCTGTAAATGATTGAATTTCTTTTCAGAAATGCCGTGACAGATGTTTCACGAATTCTAGTAATTGTATACGTTTTACGAAAAAGTAATTTACCACATTCTTGAAAATTTCTTTGAAAAATAATAATTAGTTGAAAAGTGACGATTAAAATCACCCCGTGCACATGTTAGGCGCTGCTCTAAAAGCCCCGTCGCCAATGTATTAATGTCAGTCTTATTCATACTATATTTAGGAACACTAACACAACTAACGACCGATGAAGTAAAACTTTTTACCAAAAATTGAAACTGTACTTCAATGAGTTCCATTTTTAAAATCACGAAGGTAAAGAAAATGAAATGGCTTTTCGGTATAAACTCAGCGCCAGTTAAGTAGCCAATGGCAATCGCGTGAATACTGTTTTATCAATTTTTCTCTTCGCTTATGAGATACTGAGTTACAGGTACAGTCCGGGTATTTTTGCAGCAAACCTCGTATTCAAACAAACTCACCGCGCTTATAGGGAAGCTTGGTAGACTTGTGATCGATGGAGAACTCGGTTGTGGCAGTCTCAGCTCGCTAGCCGCGATCGCTTGTTGAAGCTGGTCGTACTTTGGTCCACGTAGATATCTCTCCAAGCAGAGGACTACCGTTTGCCCGGTGTTCCTTAATACTTCGACAGCCTCGTGATTCGAGTAACCCTGTAAAGAATGGCCGTCCACCTCAACTATTCTATCGTTTATTTGAATCTTGTTGCTCAAGTCTGCCGCGCTACCCTCGCTGATGCTTTTTACGAAGATACCAGACACCTCCTCTGTAATCAAAGTTATCGAATTGTTGAATAATTAATTATTAATGCAATATTTGGGGAATCGTCCTCTTTGTTTAATGAATTGTATTAAAATATTTCAATTTAAGAAATATTTAATCAAAAGCAGCTAACATCTCTTTCTTTTCAGATTATAAAGGAATGTTTGAACTTCTTCTTAAAAAATTTCGATAGAAAAGATATTAATTGTTCAAATAATGGGATAGAATTATTTGAATAAACACTGAAACGTAGAACGTTAGAAATGAACTACTTAAGAAAAAACCGCTGCAATTGTATTCTGTACCGAAATTTAAGAAATATTTCCGATTATGGACGAATATGTCCGACAGTTGGAGCAGGGTCACCTGCGACCCATCATAAGATTTCTTTGTTTATACATCAGAGAATCAACTTTTTCCGTCAGATTTTTATCTAAATACATTAAACTACATTTTTAAGTAACTTTTTCCAAACGGTACTGTTAATTAATGGTTTAATGACTTTTAACGATAGAATGCTGAAATCGCCACAACAGCGGCAATCACACAGCGATAAAAAAAAAGTAGCATTACATCTAAAAGAAATAGAAATGATCTTCAAATATCTTCTACGTCTCGACCCACGTAAAACATATTTACATCACCTTATGCCCCCCTCCATATCATGCAAGTTTTTCCACATTATTATAAATAACGGAAATATTCCAGATGGATAAAGCAAATTGTCGGGATAATTTTTTCCCCACCCTGTATATCCCATGAACTTTCTACGCAGGCAAATAATACGGGTCACAGATGACCCAGTTTCATCTGCCCACGGTTAAAAGCATTCTGCATCTTTATATACAATAAATTCTTGCACAAAAAGGTTTAATAGAAAAAGTGGAAGAACCATTTTCACAAAGAATGTTAATTCCTTAGTCTGTGAGTTATCCAAGAAGAACATCGAAGCTTAGAAGCTCATTATTATACCAGAAAGCAACTAAGAAATGTACATACATATATTAATAATTACTTCAACTCCACAAATATACATACATTGCTTCCATATTCCAATAAAAACACATTAATTTCCCTTTCATCCACAGCTAACATGAAATCAAAGTGTCTTCAAAGATTCGAATTCTACGAGCGTGAACAATAATTCACACGAAACAACCATAGACTGTAACTCTTTCAAACACACCAGGGATTACCTTTCTCGCACACGTATCCAGCGATGGTGATCCCGAGGCCGTAAATGTCCTTCTTGAGCTCGACGGTGAACCGTTCCATTTCTGGCAGTGAATTAACATCAATGGTGTCCATGGTGAGCGTAGGTAGCTCTGGGATCTGCATCGGGACCGTTGGTATCATTGGCATCGTTCCAATTGGCATGGGATTGCGTACTACGTCCATGATGAGACCGGGCCTCGCCTACCAAACAACCCTTCCTTTCAACATAGTGATTTAGCCACAATAACGGTGAGAATAATATGCAAATGCGTGCTCCTCGAAGGATCAACGAGAGGGAAAATGCTGATCTGGATAGGATAAATATGGAATTGAATAGGAGAGCTAGCTGTTCGAAATAAAATGAGGATTTTATTAAATTTTGGTAAATACAGAGGAAGATATTTTTATCAGGTTGTGAAGTATTAGGTACACAAATTAATTTAGTGCCTTTTTCACGAACTTCAATGTCTATTTAGGACAAAGCAAACACAATTTTAATGTTCAAAATCATCTCCATTATTTTCTACGACATTCTTCCATATAAATAATTTCTGATTCAATGACAAAATGCCTTATGAATTCGGTTCTACAATTCAATTAATAATAACTCTGTTTAGTAAATGAGAGAGACGAGTTGGAATATACTACACTAAAATGCACTGAATATTCGTGGGACAAAGCTAAAAAGGGACATAAACTTATTTTATTGTATTCCATTATAGAATTCATTTAATAGAGTTCAGTACTGTTGATTCTCATTAATTGACTTGTACAATCGACTGAACGAAGCACCGACAACTGACAGGTTTACTTCTAAAACTTGATACTAGGTGTAATTTTATCGATGAATTGGAAGTTCAGGCCGATTTTGAAAAGTGATAGGCACAACTCTGGTCGAATTGAAGAAAGAGCAAAAATCATGAGAAAGAGCTCATCAGTAAGAATATGTACCTATATCGAGGGGACTGATAGACTTAAGTTGGAAGTTATATATATACAAACGGGAGCCTATAGCGAGTGCCAACGAGAATTGGTCGTTACTCCGTCCCTCTGGTGGTGGAGCACAGAAGCTACCACCACGTATTCTTTATTTTTTGCTCTAAAATGAGAAACAGCTCAACTGGCAACCTTATCTACAAAAATATGCTCTATTCGTTTAAGAAAAAATACAAAATAGTTCTTGAAAGAAGAAATGCAACTGGAAACACAGTATTGCATTTGAAGAATTCTCTGTCCACAGCAAGGTTTCCCTCTCCAAAAAGTAAGAAACAAATACAATTACAAATATATAATAATACTGTACTTGAAGAATAAAAATGTATTCTTCTTCTTCTTCTACCACCTTTCAATTTCCAATTAAAATCTACACTCCGCAAAATTCGTAAAAATAATCACACATGCGTAAACGGTTTCCTGTCTTTACGCGAAGAAGGCTCTGTCGGCAAATCCTAATGGACCAAACAACAAGGTGTTGACGAAATGTCAGGATGTTAGAGCCACTCACGTGCATCTCCACGTCGGATTCCTGGGAGTACATGTATCCGTTGTCGTATGTCTCCGGCACGCTGTGCACCAGGTAGCGGTCCAGCTCGTCCGGGTCACCCAGAATCTTCGTTGGTACGATCGGAGCGTGGCTGCCGAGTGCCTGAAATATCGCGTTCGATTGGAATCTCTGCCTCGAATTTCGGTTTTCGAGTAATTCGCAAAACCTGAACTTCCTTGATTCCTACATTTCATTCCTATATTTCAAAGCTTCCGGATGAAATGGCTTAATACGACGATGGATCTACTATGTGGGTGAATTGATTCAATTTTCAGATTAATTCTGAAAGGGTACAAGTCTAAAATTTGCGATTGTGCAGAAATAACAGAAAACTCTTTTTTTACCAAAACTATGAAACATTTATTATACTCGTAGTTGTTTCAACAAACTTATTTGTGATATATTTAAACATTAATTTGAGTTGATCTACAAATACATAAAGGGAGTTGGGCAATAATAAACGATTCAACCAAGGTGGAGGTTCAAAGTATGATGGTCGATTTAATAATGAAGCCATGAAGTTGATGAAAATTGTGATGTGAATGCGAAGATTATAATAATAGTAAGAATTCTTTATTTGTCTGCTTATAGAGGGTATGTTAGAAATTGTGAGAAACTGAAAAGCAAATAAGTCGTTTAGAATGGAACTTCGTATTTGGAAACAATTGACTTTAAAGAATTGCTTAATGCTATGTCACTTTAGCACTGATTAATTTTGTCTATATTAATGTTCATAAACATTTACACGGTAAAACAGATATACAAGTACCTATTTTATTATTGAAATCATATTATAAGAATACAAGACTTTTTAACATTACCTTTTTTGAAAAAACTAAATTTAATTATAAAACAATTTCATTCTAAATTTTCTAGTTATTTTCTAAAAGAAATCGCCTCTTTACCTACTGTACCTTAACACTGAATATACCCTGTATTTCTAAAACTGTTCTCTTATAATTTTGTAAAAATTTTTAACGTACACGTATTTCTACAGAATGTACCTTTAGTTGTTTATTGAATTAAATATGACATAATCGCAGGTATTTTATGAGCAACTAAATTTATCGTAAAGGGTTTGAAAGTACATTACACGATAAAAAGTAAATATATGATATGGCTGATATTGAAATGAGAGAAGTGGAACGACGAAAGTGCTTTGAAGTTAATAATGCATTCAGGATCTACAGAACGATCAATTATGACAGTATTTACTGTGCAAACAGTCCTATCGGATGATTCAATGAAAACTCCTTGCTGCTATTTAATTAAGGAGAATTTCGATCGAGCTATTTCATTAGGCTTTTGTCGGTAAGAAACCCAAGAATTAAGAAGGATAATAAAGATACTACATATATAGATGCTTACACCAGACACAAAAAAAAAAAAAATAGAACGAAAGAAAATGGTACCAATTACCTTCATTTAAAAAAAAATTATTTTCATTCATAAATCTTATAAATCACCCACGAATTTCCATAGATTTTAAAACACTCAAAAATTCACATATAAATATTTAGAAATTTTAAGTTTCAAATATCTTAGTTTTCAAACATATCAATATTAAAATTTCTAAACCATCAAAGTTTCAAATTTCCACATCCCTCAATTTTCAAATCTGCAAATCAACGAATGCAAAAATTCTCGAATTTCCAAATTTATAATTTCTTAATTCTCCACATTTACAAATCTTGGAACTTCCAAATTTACCAATTTCCATATCCTCAAATTGACAAATGTACAAATTTTCTAATTTTCAATTTCGCAAATTCTCACATTTTCAATTTTCTAAATTTACAAATCCGGGAACTTTCAAATTTTCGCATCCGTAAATTTTCCAATTTCCATATTTCGTAATTAGCAAATGTACAAATTTTCTAACTTTTAACTTCTCAAATTACCAAATTTCCAAAATTTTTCGAGTCCTAAATTTTCAAAATTTCCATTTCGCAGTAGGGTCAGAACACTATCCATACAGTACCTGGTAATCGGGCGACGTTGGCTCCACAGGTCGCGCGACAACGAGGCGCACGTGTGTGCCGGATTGTCGCAGAACTGCCGCAACCTGTTCACTTCCCATTCCCCGCAGATTGACATCTCCGATTTGCAATATATGGTCCCCGCTCTGCAGCCGATTATCCTGCAATTCGCGTTTGTGAACGAACCATGTTTAATTCCCAAATCGATCCTCGCTAACCGTTCATGTTTCGTGTATTTCGCAACTTCTTTTTCCGTTTTAATCCTCTCACTTTTTATTCGACGATATTCTTATTTCGACGTTGAAAAATAATATTATAAAAGAATTAATTAAATATTAATATTTTTCTGAATAAACTTTACGTCGGATAAATGTATTTCTAAGTTTAAGATTACGATTATATTACTATTCGCAAGTATTTTCCCATTTCTCTTTTGTTCGGTTGCACACACGAACTGAACAACAAAATATCGCAAAGAAACAGACCAACTTAATCCAAGGTAATTTCACCATCATAAACTATCACCCTTCCCTTTTTTTCAAATTTTTGCAACATCGCTCCAGTTTACGGACATTTCCAACTGTTACTGCTCTCCTTTCATAAATGTCTCCTACATGCAACCATGCACTTCTAATTTGTTACTCCTCTTCTCAACCTAACAATTCACCATTCACCGCGAAATTTTATAGGGTGAATCTACATGAAGAAAGAATTCGGAAACGTAGAGTAACATTTTCTCATGTGAAACTTCATTTCTGAATAAATCAATGTTGAAGATTCGTCGAGTAGGTGTACACTTGGTCTCACGTACACTTTCGTCTAAATATTGCAAACTAGCTGCATTGTTGTTTATATTTATTACATTAGACAGTGAAGAACAAACAATGAAATAAAAGTAAGAAACAATATCCCTGCTGGATCGGTTGTAACGGTGAAACAATTTAACCATCGCGATCCCTGGATTTGACATCGATGCATTTTTAATGCACACAAATTTCACAATAACTCCTCCATTTTGTAATGTATTTACTTTTTAAAAATTGGAGGAAAAGCTGCACGTTACATTTATATCCTCTGCAAAAAATTCAAACTTTTCATTAAGTAGTTACCTATGAAAAAAATTCCCAAACTTCACTTATTTTTAGACGTCTCAGGGTGGTATATACCACCTTAACCCATCATCACACCATCGGAAAACAAAATTAGCCCTCACGCCAGGCATTCTCGTTTGCCGACTTGAAAAAATCCAAATGTTTTTTATTCTTTGTATAGTTTGAAGTGTACAGAATATATTTTCGAAAGGAAATTCCAGAATTCGAAAAATTATTCAAGTTATAGCCAGGTAAATGGTCTGATCAGTAGGGCTGCACCGAAGATTATTCCTGGCATATACAGGTAAATCTTCTGGTAGGTGAGGACCATGTTATGGCATGACAAAAGTTTCGCGAGCCTCGCAGGAAATACACAAAACAATAACGAAAGGTACAATTCAACGCTTTGAAAAGAAATACACTTCAAACGCATTTTTCTCAAAACTACATTTTTTATATTCACGGAAGTGATAAATGAAAAAATAAATGAGATATTAATTTGAAATTTTAACCACGCATAAAACACGTTTCCCCAAGGCTGATAGTAGAATTAAGTAAAAATAAGATATGTACTTTTCCTTTCAGTAACAAAAATATTCAGATGTTTTGTACGATTTTTGATTTTCCATGCTTCAACGATTGCCATACAGACAATTTTCAACAAATAATGCTCGTTTTATTACGAACACTGAACTGAACAATAAAACGTTAAAATATATATTTCAAATCAGCTGGTTATCCATATGTTAGTTCCCCCAACGAAGGATGTTTTTCACGCACACCATCACTAATAAATATGGTATGTATACACACGCCATATTTATTTTATAAATAAAAAAATACTAAACAATACATTAAACACCCTACAAGAATTTACAATAATCCTCCAAAAAAAAGATTCTAAAAAAACGACCTTGTCCATGCTTAGAAACGAGGGAAGTTGTGAGTACATTTGGAACTGCGTAAAACGTTTGAAGAAGCAACACGTCGCAAAGTACCGAATAAATATATACATTTCTTTTTTTTATTTAAAAATGTGAAAAATGTTGTATAAGAAGTGCTATAAAATAAATTCGGTCTATTCTTCGCTAAAATAAAATATATTGTAAATAAATAGGTGGAGAAGTATTACTTACGAGTAATACCGAGCTATAGAATAATTAATAACTAAAAAATCTGTGGTTTTAATAAATATTAAGACTAGAAATTGATATAAAGAGATGAAAAGACGTGGGAGTAATAAAGGCATTTTTTACCCTATCAGTCTTTTGTCATTATCAAAAGATTGTTTTTTATGTAGAAGAGCACGATGTGCCAATTTAACTCTACCTTCAAATATAAGCTTATCAGTGGAATATTAACATATGTATGTGGGTGTTAACGCAGCTTCCCGCGCTTCATTCGAGGAAGGCCGGGTTGGCGTTAGTGGATTATTGCACTTGGTTTATATGTTGGCACAATGTGGACCAGACGGATTGCCGTGAATCGCAATCTGGTTGTCGAATATCGCGAGTTGGTCACGATTTGCATACTCGTAATGCGTGAAGGTCGAATGTCGCGGACAATATCGCACTGAGTTGTCGATTTTGTCTTATTCCTTCGGCGGTTCTAGTCCTTTTATGCATATTGGGACTAGTTCCTCCGACCAATCAACGTGCCTCAATGCCCGTGACAACCCTCTCTTTGCGCCCTTAGCGCGTTGCTTTGGGGACGGGGGTGACGGTGGCTTCACGAATTTCCTCCAGGCTGTGACCGTTACAGTAGATCCTGAGTCACCCTTCGGAAGGCCCATTTTATAACACGGTTTAGCTATTGAGGACTTCTAATTTTTCTCTCGCCATGATGCACTTTAATCCTTAAAACATGCCAATAATGAACTACAAGTCCTAATTTCAAAAATAGCCTCCTTGGCACGCCCGTGTCATAATTTTTCTCGATAACAATGATTTTTGCAATCTTATAAATATTGGAAGACATATAGGGCGAAAAGAAAAACTGTTAGTCTCGACAATGTGGGACGCATACGACCCACGCGGCGTGAACGGAAAATCACCGAAAATCGCTCCGGCACGGAACGTGTTAAAACATGCCAATAATGAACTACAAGTCCTAATTTCAAAAATAGCCTCCTTGGCACGCCCGTGTCATAAAGCGCTGCGCCTAACAGTGAGAATGAAAATGATTGCTTCTCAGCAAATAAATTTTGAAAAACGAAGGGACGCACTTGTCGTTATTATCGTACGAAATAAGTTACCGATGAACTTTTCTTTCTTTTTATTTTTAATAGGCCAAAAAATGCTCTTATACGACCATGTCTTTTGGAGAAGATCGTATGAAATTGTAATAAACTTACTCGATCGGCGACACCACCTGGGAGGATCGTCTTGACGACAACACCGGTGCTGCGTCCACCGACGATTCCGAATCCAAGACCGCTGCCATCGTTGATCAAATTTATAACTTCAACTTGTGCCCATTCCGTGTTCAGCTGCAACAGAACAAACACATAAATTCCACATGACGTTTCTATCCAATCCGCTATTATTTAGATGCCTATCTCGTTTCATAGAAAGAAGAAACTAGTCAAGGAAAAGGAAACAAAAAATAAACATTGGTCTATAAAATATCTCTTATACACTATGTATAATGATTCTGAGTCCAATAATTTATTTAATGGAAGAGAATAAAAAAGAAAAAAACCCTGCTGAGTGACGTCAAATATGTAAAATGTATAAATAAAAAAGAATTTCGGCGTGTAAATTAAACGTGTTTGCAATCTGAGTTTGGGAACTTTTGTTACAGAGTGTATAAGAGTAGCAATACATCAATAGGAAATATTTCAGGCGGAAATATGTAAATTAAATAAATTTATGCACAGGATCGTCCTCTGAAATCCGCTAATAAATTTTCGTACGTGCATCATAAAATACAATATGAAACGTATTCATGGTTTTATTTATTGTTCATTTATTGTATAACCTACGTACCATTAGGCAAAATTGATAAAGATGCACGTTGAAAAAAAAAAGGACTGTTAATTTCATCTTTGTCAAATTTGAAATTTCACATTCCAAATTTAATAGAAATATAATATTTTGAAATTTTCAATCCTAAATCGAAAATTTAAGTTCCAAACACAGAATATAGATGATTTTCTCAAACTTTAATTAATAATAATAATACAAGCATTGAATTGCGATAAAAAGTCTTCTGACAAAAATTCATATTTTTGTTGATGTGGTGTATCGGTCCACGAATACGGGACTTGAATCACGACGATTGGAATGTCTTATACAGAGAGACTAGCGAGACTCTGGAGTACAAGTATTAATGCAAGGTACAAGTCTCGGTTTGTGGTTCTACGACAAACTCGGCTGTATCGTTCGGTGTTCGAAGGAAGACTGCCTGAAAATTTGGAGGAGTACAAGAAATGAGAGTTGGTGTAGGAGTTAAAATTTGGGGGTAGAATGTTGGAACGATAGAAATTCGGCGATTGGTCTTAGGATATTTGTAAGAAGATAGGGAAAGGGTAAAAGTGGGGATGGAAGGTCGAGGTGGCTAGGGTTTTTGAAAATCCCAGTAGGAATGGAAATCGGACATCAGGGAAGGAAAGGACTAGTTTGCTAATTAGAAAATTGGGTACAATGGGTGGTAAAAATGTACTACGCTGTCGTTCGGTAAACATTTTACGGGGGGTACGCTCGTCTGACGGTCCCGTTAATCCTCTGTTACATTACTTGCGGTTTTAAAATCAATTTACCGTTTTCAAAAGCGGAATTATTTTACAAAGACCACGCCGATATTCACGGAAATGTTTATTCATCGGACGATGGTAATTAAAACGAGATAAAAGGTGACTCTATGCATATAATTAGCTTCCATGGAGACTTTCAAATATGAAAACGAATTTAGGAGGACACAGGTGA